CTCTCTCTCTCTCTCTCTCTCTCTCTCATTTGTGAAAACTTTTCATTGCTTAGTTGGTCGGACAGATAGAATTCAATTTGATTGAATCGATGATTCACTCACTGAACTGGTGCGCTTTTTTCCGATTTAGTCGATTCGAAATATGACATTTTTTATTTTATTTTTTTTTTCCCTTCTTTCTTGAACGGGTTGATGGATTGCTTGGAATGTAAGTTGGAGTTCACCAAAACATTAGTCGATCCATGTAATGATTCATTAATTGTTTATATCCCTTTAACTTGTATAGCTAAAGTGGATATACTGATACTGATACTGCAACTTCTTAAGTGTGCATTGATCTAACACGGCCGGCGTACCCATACGAAAAAAAAAAAAAAAAAAAAAACTGGGCTCCCCCTTGCTGCGGACAAATTTTGACACTGCCTTTAGTTCATTGGGACCTGGCAAAGAAAGGACGCAAGAACAATCAATGTCGATCAAATTTGATAGATGCCGCTTATCAATTCCGCGTTTCCCCTAAAACACAACGCACTCTCAGAATGAATGTACACCAGCTATCTTTTCGGCTCGATACGTTCATGATGAGGGTGACGTTGTGTTCGGGGAAAGAGGGTAGCAAAGTAGATTGACTACAACGCACTCTCAGAATGAATGTATACCAGCTATCTTTTCGGCTCGATACGTTCATGATGAGGGTGATGTTGTGTTCGGGGAAAGAGGGTAACAAAGTAGATTGACTACGTACAGTTGTTGATATTTCCAGGCAATCTAAAATCACTGCAAAACGACAAAATGCCTAAATAACGGAGCTTAACGGAGCTTAATGGAGCTTAACGGAGCTTAACGGAGCTTAACGGAGCTTAACGGAGCTTAACGGAGCTTAACGGCGGAGGAGCTTTTTTATTCTTACCATATACATCTTGCTGCAAGTGCCACATTTTTCCAGAAGCTTCTTCGATTTCTCCAGTACGTTTTCCAGCTGCTCGAAAGCAGCGATGGCCTGTTCCGAAAGTGGGGTCTTCGAATCCTTCACCTCGTCGATTAGAGGAGCAATCAGCTTGATTCGCTGCACCAAATTTTCACAGTTGTCCTTGTGTATTCGTGCCCTTTCGCCCAATGCCACGATCATGGTCACTAGGTGGGCCACACCAACCAGCATGGACACAGGTTCCACCATCTTTGCCGACTGTATTAATCCCGACAAGCGGGGTCTACTGACCTACTGACGGCGTAATGCCTTTGGTATTAGTGAACTGAGTGCGATAAGCGCGGGAGTGAAGGGAGTAGAGAAGAGTAGAGAAGTGAAAGTGAAGTGAAAAGGAGACAGGTAAACTGACTCATTCAAACACACAACCGTGTAGCACCACGGCGCACGCTGTGCGAGAACCAATCCCGAAATCAAGGTACTCTCCAAGAAAAGGAAAAAAAAAGAGAAGAGAGGACAGAGTATGAGAAAGAAGAGAGTTTTCTATCAAGAGCGGGGGATGCCGCTCAAAAAAACGTGTGCTCCGAAGAGAGACTGAAGTGAAGTCGACTGGATGCTCCCGCTACTCAGAGACGAAGACAAACTGCGCTCGCTGCTGGTGTTCCAGCAACTTGAAGGCGGGCATTCCTCCAGGCGCCGGTGGGTGACTTGATTTGTCCCTCGAGCCCGGCTACTACTACTAGTAATCTAGTGTGACAATCGTAGTACGAAATTCCTTAATGCGAAAAACGTTCCCACTGATAGTAGACTTATACCCAACAAGATCAATGGAAAGTGAGGCCGACCGAAGGCGCGACCTTTCCAGTATCGCGCTCTAACGAGGCTGCGGCGCGCCAACTAACGTAGTGCGGCTCCGAAATTTGCCGCTGTTGCTGGACTGAATTCTCCAAGATGAAAAAAAAGCGATGGTGAAGGCGGGAATAGGGAACAACCTACAGCCGTCACACCGTCCAAAGGTCAACGTTTGTTCGAGTCCGAGACAACACTTCCACCCGTCATCCCTTTCTGCGCCATAGCCGCCGTGCCAGCTACGGTATCGGCGGGAAAGAAGAATCGAAATTGAACACAATCGTGTTCCCGCCGAAATGGAAATGAAATCCCGCCGGGTCCGCCTCCCGCCAGCCCGCGGGTTTTTTCGCCCGCCGCAGATCTACGGTAGGGTCTCGCTGGACGACCCTCCGCCGGGCAAGGTCCCACTTGCACGGATTAAGAGATTGTGGCCGTGGATCTTTGCTATCTACGGTCAGTATCGCTTAATTCGTGTAAGTGGGACCTAGCCCCGGCGGATGTGTGAGATGGCGAGCGTTTGTTCACGCAGAAGATCGCAACTCGCTATTGTTTTTTTTGTTTTTTTTTTTCGCTATTGTTTTTGGCTTTTCTCACATGTTCGGGTTTTCGTACCCCTCCCTGTCAACAGCTCTAGAGTCCCCATCGCCGGTGGAAAAAGGGGTACAAAAAAGGGAACTGCTGGAAAAAGGGGTACCACATCGCTTCTTTTCGCGCTCCCTCGCCACAGGACAGGATTATTTGGTTCAGTTCCAGTAAAGGACTCGAACACAGTTCCGCATTTTGATTAGGTCAGTCGGTTTGCAGCAATTTTCCCAGGCTCTTCGCCGCGCCTCATCTCTCGCTTGGTGCCCCCACGACGGACAGGTCACGCGTCTAATGCCCCCCACGCCTGCTTCTGCAGCTGTGTTTGCCGGTGTGTGTGTGTGTTATGAGCGACACGACAACCACACGTCTGAACGCGCGACACTGCCTACGCCTGAGTGTGACGCTACGCATGAGCGCTGAACCGGCACATGCGTGACCTCTCTCTGGGCCCGCAGCACCACATCGGGGCAAGGTCCGACTTGTAAGTCCGTAGATGAAGGAGAAGTGGGAAGGAGCGCCATGGTCCACCTGGCAGCGACCGAGTTCCCTCTTCGAGTGTTGGTAACTCAGTTGGTTACAGCACCGGCATCACAAGGGACAGGTTTTGGGTTCTATTCCGGTCGGCCTCAGGACACCATCACAAGGTCCACCATCGTGCTTGCTGTCCTGCGGATGCTCCGGTTGATGTTAGATTGACACCCCACGGAGTAGTCAGCCTAGCATAGCTGTGGTAGCTCCGAGGACAGCAAGCACTATGGCTTAGGTGGTTAGAGCATTGATATATCCTAGGAGAGGGTGTGGGTTCAAGGTTCGGTAGGAGGGGTTCTTGGGGAGAGTTGTGGGTTCAAGGTTCGGTAGGAGGCATTTTTGGGGAGAGGTTGTGGGTTCCAGATTCGGTAGGAGGGATTCATGGGCGCCACCTCCGCTAGGACACTTCCATGTTAGCATAGTGCTTGTGCCCATTACCAGTCTTTAGGAGGGTGGAGTCACAGAAAGCCCCCTGTGGGAGGGGAAATTATTGGACCCACTTAGGGGCTTGAAAAGAGTAGACAACCGGTTTTTTTGTGGGGGGGGGGGACACTCCTCTTGTTCAGCAAGATTGGGGGCTAGAAGATTGGGGAGCACATACATATATATGTAATCAATGGCATGACCCATAACTTGGGGATACAGGGGGCAGTGGACCGGAGGTTTTCCCTGGCAGGAATCGGCTGTGTGGAGAACTGGTGTGGGTTAAGGGATTGATCTTACCCTGTACCCCCGACATGACCCCAGGCCATAACAACAACCAATGGGGGGCAGAGAGGGGTTGGTCAGAGGTTTTCCCTGGGAACTCGTGTGGGTTACAGGTTCGATAACTCAGCCCCTCTGATATGATGCTAGCGGAGGATAGAAAGATACCCTCATGATAACATAATCTAACAACTAACTGGGGAGCAGGGGGGATGGGCTGGAAGTTTCCCTGCCAGGAATCATCCCTGTGGCGAACTGGTATGGGTTACGGGATCGATAACCCTGACTCCTTTTTATGACACTAAAAGTACAGAATAGCCAGCACCCTCGTGGAATAACATAACCACAAAAAAACATAACCGGGGCGCAGGGGGGGTATAGGCCGAAGGTTTTCCCTGGCAGGAATCGACCCTGTGGAAAACTGGTGCGGGTCACCGAAACAACATCCCTGCCTCTGGGCATGACATGATACGAGTAGGTTGTGCTAGGAATCAAATGGGTCGGGTCAGGGGCTGTCTTAGGTAAGACCTTGGTCAGGGTAGGACCACTAGACATTGCCTGGGGTAGCTTTGTGCAGTGTTTGTTGTCTGACCAATCCGAGCAGGTGCTTATAGCAAAGTATATAAGATGATCACGCTAGGCGCCCGAAGTGCCCGTACGACAAGACTCGTTCGATAGTGCTTCAACTAGGGCTGGCAGGGGTGTGCTGGCCTAGCGCTGGCGCGTACAACTATTGTTCGGTATAGTGGCCCCGTAGATGGAGAAGCAGGGGTTACGCGGTTGGAGTTAATACCCTTACAAAGGTATTCAAGAGTCTATTTGCACCTTGCACAAGTTACACCTGAGATGGTATAAGATGTAGGTATTTACATAAGTATTGCACAGCCCGCAGTCGACTCTTTGGAGTCGGACAACGAGCGCACGCGAGAGGAGATTAGGGAGTGTGTGGACGCGCGAGCTTAAGGATTAAAACATAATTTTAGTTTGGTCGTATGTAGGAGCGGGCCGTGGGTAGAGCCTAATGCCTGCATGACAAAGGTGTCGGCGCTGGCAGTCAGGCCTTCAATCAGTAGGTCAAGGTATGGTCTTAAGGCATCTTGGTGAGGCGGCGCAGTGTGGAGAACCCGTTTATGTGGTTTTTTGTTGAGGCCCATGCCAGCCTTGGGCATAGCACTATTGGTTACAGTGTCTTATTACTATGCATCAGGCCGACTGGAGGGATAGAGGGGTGCCAACGGTCCCCCTCCTCCTCGGTACAGCCCCGTCAGATTTTTATTATTATTATTATGCTTCTTATTTACTATTATTATTATTTTATTGTTATTTTTATTATTATTATTATTTTTTTTTCCATAAGTCCCATTTTCATGACACTGTCCCAATGCCGGTACAGGTCAACGGGTCTAACTCAATTGGTACACCCGTGAATTATTAAAGTACAAAACGCGAGTTCGAATTCGGATGCAATCAGGTGAGCGAAATAAGATTGTTATGGGCTACCCGTGGGCCCGCCAAGTTAGCAGGGAGGCCGCGACCCACAGATTTGTCCTTCAGGACATCCAATATAGAGAAGATTAGTACGGCCCCTCGCAAGGAAGGTTATGTATAAAGCGGAGGGTCGAATTGAGCTCTCGTTTTTTTCTCTTTGAATGTTCCGAAGAAAGAGCATTGAGAGGCTGCATGATGTGATTGAGTTAACAACAACGAAGACCACGAAGAGGAACGAGGTTTATTGTGGAGATTTTTTGTTGGTCGGTTATTACTGACCGTGACGTTGTTTGTGGTCGATATCCTGGTCAATGTGTTGTTCGTGGTTCTCGTTCCGATCCTCAGTGGTGATGCTTGCCTTCCACTTGGCGCTGAACGTTCCTCATCCATGGTGATTTTTTTTGCCATCGTGCCCATGATGATCTTTCTCGTCATAGGGTTCGTGATGTTGTCCTCTATAGTTGTGATAGTGGTGCCCCTATTTGGTCGTGAGAGTCAAGGTAGAGCAGCGTGCTTGAGTGAGCGCGCAATCGAACAGAAGGGGCGTTCGTGAGAGAAAGAGAGAGAGAGGCGTACGTACCTAGTGACCATTGGAGGCGAGGAGATCGGAGCAGGCACGAGCTTGTTGGATCGGAGCGAGAGTGAATGTTGATGATCTTAGTGTATCCTCCTATATTCTAGCGGAAAATTCATTCTCACTTAACACATTCGGTGAGTAGTGCAACATGGTTCGTCTGCGCATTGTTGCTGTAGTATTCTCTATCATTACCGTGATCGAGGTGTCGATTCTCGATATTGTACTCACTGTTGGAGTAGTCTAGGTGGTGGTTGTTTTTGCCTTCGTGTTCGCAAAAGGTGTTGGGTGCCATCATCATCATCATCTTCATGGCAGTGGTCACATGGCTATCCATTGCGTGGCTACGATCTTGGTCGTGCTTAGTCACAGTAACCATTGGAGTCGTATAGGTCAGCATTTGCGCCGCCGCGGGTGATTTCTCGCCGATTGTCTTCGTGATTTGCATAGGTGCATTGATCCTTATCCTCTTTGAGCTTGTAATCACCGTTCTTAGTATTGGGTGTCTACACTTTTGTTGAGGTGTTGATCCTCCATCGGAGTACTTATGATCGTGGTGGTGGTCGTACAA